TGATTTAAAAAAAAAAAAAAAAGAAGTCCTGTGTGGGCTGGGGCAATGGCTCAGTAGGCAAAAACACCTGTTGCAAAAGAACGAGGGCCAGAGTTGGAATGCCTAGAAACCACATAAAACCGAGATACAGTAAGAGCATCTCTATTCAGAGCTCCTGACAGGAGATGGAAGGCAAAGGCAGGAACATCCTGAACACTTGTGACCAGCTAGCCTAGCACACACAATGGAAAAACAATGAAATCTTGTCTCATTCAAGGCAAGGATGTCACCTAAGGCTGTCCTCTAACCTTCACACGAATGCTGTAGTGCACACACCCAGTTCCAAGTCTGAATGCATTATACAAACAAAAGGACTTTAAATGTGTTATAACAGGAAAAACCTAAAAACCATAAATGGAGGCATCTGAAAACCATCAAGTCTCAAAAGCGCCCTTCAAAGTATTTTACAGGATTGTTAACCACAACCCAAGCACTTTCACAGTTTATAAACAGAACATATAAAAACTGTAATTGTATGCTAAGGCTGATAAAAAGGTATCATTACTTACAACCTCAAAGTTCTACTCTTGATTTTATAGTTTCATTGATCTCATTGGTTTTTACAAATAAACTACATATTTAAATTAAGTTAAATTATAACACACTGATGTGTACTAAAACTTTTTTTACGCATGATAGGTAATACCATTTAATGCACACTCTCTTGAAAAACATAAAAGGAAAGCAAAGACATGGAATATAAACAAATAAACCCTACAGCCACTGCTGTATAGCTTACAACTCTCACACTATTTCAATGGGCCAGAAATTGGACTGTGAAACTCACTCTGTACCACCACCTTTCCCACACAAGGAAACAATAAAACAGCAGCCACATCCACTTCCCACGTGTCAGATCTGAATAAGCTAACTCAAAGTCAATAAAAGGCAAATGCAGAACTTTCCCAGTGTAAGAACATAAGAAATCTTTCACTGTTCCCTTAACTGTTTCCTTAGGATGAAAGACTAAAACAGTGATTACATGATCAAAGCTTAAGCTCAGAAAAACAAACTCTGCATTCTTACATATGTATGTGCAATGTCGATGGCTACTATGACATTGCTATTTTAGTTCCCATGGTAATTTGTTTTTAATTTTTTTAATGATTCCATCCCCATCAGAGATTTTAATTTTTACTTTATTTTAATGTAGCTAAAATTACTTAAAATTTTTGTTCTGTTTTTTTCCAAGTCAATTTCCATTCTGATTTTTTAAATGTAATTTTTATTTATTACATTTTTTTAAAAAATATATAATTTCCATTTTGATTTTATGACCGAGTTTTCTCCCTTTCCCAAGTCTTAAAAATGCAGAGATACAGAAATTTCCTACATTGTATTAACTGGCCCAGGCTTTAAGGTCTAGGTCTACATGAATTGCTCTGTGCCATCTATGCCACTGCACATCAGGGTAAGAAAGGTGACCAGTGCTGTTAGCTGTTATCTTTCCAGCTTCCAAACCTCTGAGGAAGCTGGAGAGGGAGGTGGGGCAGAAGGACAGAAAGTCAGGGCTGTCCTAGGCAATTTTAATCTAAGTCTAATATTAGTAGGGCAAAGGGCACAAAAAGAAAACTGCATCAAGTCAACTAAACCATTATTTTAGGTGTAAATACTTGCTGTATTTTAAACCAACATATTTTCCACTAATTGACCTTGTAATTTTAGGCTTGTAATATCTTAAGGTATTTATTTTATTAACACCTGACTTGCAATTTTAAGTGAATGTGATCAAATACATTTTATATCACATTTTAGACAACTGTTTAAACTGGGCTTAGATTACCCATAATACACCTTTTTCAACTCTCACCTCCCATCTTTTATATTATATAAATGAGGTGACCGAATTTCAATTAAAATTCACATTTAAGGATATTTAATAGTCAAGAAATGACTAATAATTGACTTATTTTCTACTGAAAAGTTTTAAAACAAAAAAAAAAATCAAACTACAATGTAAGAAACTATAGTTCTTTGTGATCAGCAACAATCCATACAAAGAAACCTACGTTTTAGAACAGCACACTGAAGTCACAGGGCCAGCCGAACACCCTGTGCATCACAATGACAGACAGGGGCAAGATATGCCCATAGGCACAATAGTGGCATCAATGTAACTAGACAACCAACAGCTTTCTGCTTGGATTTTACAGCCTGTTCCGCAGAAGAAACACAAACCTGGTACTGTCAACCTGGCCAACACCTGGCTCATAAGCTCACCGGCTCCAGGAGTGCACCTGTTACTACTATTTTACTAAATGAACATAATATCAAATTTCTATGTCTATACCCATGGAACAGTGGCACTCTCAACCCTCATCAGACTTTTTGTCTGCAGTAGACATTGGTCTGCTTAGAGCTGAACAATGTGTTTAGAGAATCAGTGTTCAGCCATAAAAGGAAGATCATTATCACACAGATACCCCAAGGCTCAGGAACCAGTGTGGATAAGGGAATGGGAATATTTTAAGAGCTGGAGGTTGGGGAGGACTGGATTAAAAGAGTTGTCTACACATGACAGAACCTGTACAAGACCAAGGTAGTTAACATCCTAGCACAGAGTGGGAAGGGGCTCACAATTCTCCACCACGATTAAGGAGCTACTGGCAGGTGATGGCTTCTGGAAGAGGAAGAATCAATTTTTTAAGGCTGTGGCCCTTGGTGGGTTAAATATACTTAAGTGGATGGCCTGCATCCCTGAGTATCTGGGCAGCACAAACTGGTAATCTTTTGATTGGTTAAGAGAATGCATTTCATTAATGAAGAAGATCTAAAACATAAAGCCTCTAAGCAAAATGGAAAAGAAGGGATGTAACTTAGTGGTAGAGTACTTGGCTAACACAGGCCCTATATTTGCTTATTCTCTAGCTCCATTAAAAACAAAAGGAAACTGTAAAAATAATCAAAATTAGGCTGCCTTCTGAGTTTTCTAATTTTAAGACTTTTCAACAATTCCACCTTTCCAAGTCACATTCGAGTACACTGTGAAGTCTACACAGCATGCTCTGGGTCCTTGCTTCCTTCAGGGTCACCCAACATCTCTAGTCCCTCAGCTTACACACTAAGGTCATCTGCTCACTGGCAGTGAGAAATCCTTCACCAATCCTTCCATCCCCAATGCCTACTACCTCCACCCAACAGTGCTACTTCTGTCGAAATTGGTTTCTTCTGACTAGTTTCTACCCTCCAACAAAGACACAAGAACAAGGCTGCCCATAGCTTCCTCTGGACAGAGGTCCCTGGGCATGCTTCTTTCCTATAAGTACTACTTAAGCTTACCTCCCTTACTAGCAAGCAATTCAATGGCAAATCCAGTGCATATTAGCTGCACAGGGAACACTTAAAAATATTTACAAACTAAAATGACACTAACCACACAATAAAAAATTAACAATTAAAGCTTGTCTTAATCTTAGCCAATTTTCCAGAAGTCCTGTGGTCTCCACTTCCAAAACACAGGTCAAGCGGCAGTCACCCTAGGCACAGCTGCATTAGTCCTGCGTCACCTTGCACTAAACAGCCACAGCATTACAGCTGACTTTCACATCTGCAATCACCTTAATACTCATTCCCATGCTAGCTCGCAGGCTCCCAAGAAAGCATCCAGCAGCACCACTTCTCCCTCTTCCCCAGCACTTGTCCACTGGCCAGAATATCTTAGTAAGATACAAGTTTTTTTTTTTCTTTTAATCTTTTTTTTAAAATGCAGTTTTAAGAAATAATCCTTATTTGAGCCTTTGTTATTTTGACAAACATTCAAACTTCCTCAGCTTCCTAAAATGCCAAGTGAACTCCTCCCTTTTTATTCTCCCTCAAGTCCTTCAATGCAGAAAGGCAGGCATTTACTAACTTGGGATCTCGACACTGGCCCCTTCCTCTGCCTAAAGACTCCACCTCAGTGAGAGGTGCTGCTCCTAGAGATCAGCTCTGACCTTATCAAGCCAAAGCAGCTTCTTTAACTTTCACTCACAGGCTTGCTATCCCATTACTGCACTTGCCTTCTTTGAATTCATTACTATCTCAGATGTTATTTAATGGGTAAATCTCCCTTTGCAAGTTTCTATTTGCTCATTACTGCAACCCCATTTATCTAGGAAACAATACATATACATACCAAGCACCTTATCATCAGATGTAAAAACAAACCAAGAAAAGTAACTTACTTAAGATATGAATGATTCAAAGTAAAAGAAATGCCTAACTAGTCTCTCAAACAAGGGAGAAAACAACCTGCTCCACCTGTGAAGCAGAAAGTCTGGTGTTACTGGGGTCCACTGTACAGGCATCAGCTGTGTGTTTCTCAAAGCTCACGGGAAACAAGTAAAGCCAGCCCTCATCTATGGCACTACCATCACTTAGGGAATTCTGTCTTCTGGACAGACACCATGCTGAACACAAAAGCACTGGAATATGCTTTCAAAACAACCTGTCACAACCCTGTGGTACTTACCTATAGAATGATTAAAATTATATTCAAACTTTCAACCTCTTAAGAAACAGGTCCTTCCAGTTTAAGAGGCCAGCCTCTGAGATGAGTTCCAACTACAACACGAGTTGAGAGGCTGTCCCACCTACTGTCTTTTCTTAAAAGTGTGTGTCTCACTGGGAGTCAGCAGCCTTTTTAACTATTTACTGATTGACTGAGGCAGGAGGAAACTACTAGCCAACACTTGTCAGCCGTAGTTTTGGGTATCTCTGTAACTTCCATTCAATAAATCTTTATTCAGCTTTCAATGAGAGATGAGAATAGCATTCAACTTCAAGTAGCAGAGACAACACAATATATCTCAGTATTTCTTGACTAAAACTCACTACTGAAGAAAATAATCTGTAAAATACATAAGACTTAACAGAACAAAGTAATTGTATTTAATCCTCACTATGCACAGACGACTTGAAATAAGAAGCACAGCCACTTTCTCCAGGTTCCCTCACCAAGCACAATGCCCCGCCTCACTTACCTTGGTATGGTAACACATTTAGTATTGCAATTCTGAGTGGTGATGGCTTTCTCAAGCTCATCTAATCGTCCTGTTTTCTTTAGCTTTTTCACCAGACTTTTCACTGCTTTTTCACACCACTTTTCTTCCTGTCCATTCTGTTCTCCGCCACCTGCTCCTCCAGACCCACCGGCTGATTTTTTCCATCCCAGAAGTCTCTTCACCACTGGCGGAGTAAATGGCAAGATGGACGACATTTTCTTACCAGGCAAGGGTAACAATCCACACTCAGAAACAGCCTGGTAAATCTACCCTAAAAAAGACAGTGAAACATTAATTTTAAAACTAATTTAAAAGTGGTGATTTCAATATGCTACCAAATGCAAACCACGGCACATAACAGAAATTTAAACTCTTCACTTTAATCTGAAGTTCTTTCTATACTGATGAAGATGCTATCTTCACTACTTTAAGTGAACTGTGGCAATAAATCCTTCTGAAAATCATGAAGACTCAAATCTTGGGCAAATACAATTCTGCAATAAAATCTTTGTCAGTCTTGGAAAGGGGCAGGGAGGAGATGAGGGAAGGAGGGTGGGATTGGGAGGGAACGAGGGAGGAGGCTATGCTGGGATACAAAATAAATAACCTGTGATTAATACAAAAAAATAAAAAATAAATAAAAAAATCTTTGTCAGTGCTCTGGACAATTTTACTAAAGCCACTTCTCTTTATTCTTAACCTGTGCAAATTAACACTTGATTAAAATACTTTCACAAGACCAAGTTTTTCACATTTTTTAGGACTTTATTCTCAAAAGATTTAGCAAAAATGGAGGCTTGGAGTTTATATAGTTAAGTGGAAGGATTATTGCCTAACATAAACAGGCTGTGGGTTCAACCATCCTCCCAATGCTGAGGGGTGGGAGAAACTTAAAATATATACAAATCCACTGTTCAAAGTTTTAAATTTTCATTAAGAATAACTAATGAAAGTGAGCAAATGTGGGGGAAAAAAGGCTTTATCCAACCTGTCTGCTTTCGGGAATACCTTTAATTCCACTTATTCTTAAGAGCCATTTTTATCTAATGATGTACACAGTGAAATTAAGCACATTTTCTTCCTACATCAAAGTACCATTCTTTAAAACCTTTCATTTTATGTCAAAGTAACAGGCTTGTAAGAATAACCATAGCATCAAGTTCATGTGTTAGAGCATCAATTTCCCTATGGAAAATGATGGGCTATTTCCTTTATAACACTATGTACTTTCTCTTACTATGAAAACCACTTGCAGCTGTAATTAAATAATTATGTGCATATTATCTAATGAGATCAGCAGTAAGTTACTATGTAAGCATGTTTCTTTCTGTACACCTTTTTGTATCACGAGAATTAACTTGTCTTTTCATTTGCTTATTTTCTATGCACTTAACCACCACACTTTCTTATTCTATGCCAGTCCCTCAGTGAAAACTTCAGTCAATTGACTACTTTAACTCCACAGCCTCACATCCTAGAGTGGTATTCTCCCACTCTGCACTGATCTAACAATACTCTGGGCTGCAGCATCACCACTGTCCTAGGAACCCCCTTCACCTCTCTGTGAGCTTCCTAATACCATGTCTTCATCTTTTCTACTGCATCTATTGTTTGATGGAGTGTATCATTCCCGAGAAAGAGCTACAGATACCACTAATAATCCGTTGAAACACATTTTTACACAGTATTTACTTTTAGAAAAAGCAATACTTCTCTGGCTTGTTACAATGATTAAAATATGGTACTATCTTAATTTTCCTTAACCAAAAAGAAAAAAAAAAATCAAACTTCAGTTATTTCAACTCTGTAACTTAGTACCCATAAGAAAAAATACAGAGATTCTCTTTTTGATCCTTATCAAAGCCTGGACTCATCTATCACCCATCATTTACCTGGCTGGTTCAGAAGAAATTTCATCTTATGGTTGTTTTGAGTCCAGGTGTAAAACAGACAATGCAATTCATCTGGAAAGCTTGCCTCCTGAGTAGTTCTAAATCTAGAACTGTCCCTATCCTCAGCTTTTATTTTTCTTCATTGACTCGGGAAGTATCTAGTCTCCACGTGAGTTTACATTCTTAAATTGTTTTTCTTGTGGTGTCACTAACTTATTCTTCTACCCATACAATAGGTTAGCTATGCATACTTTAGATTATATTTCAACCTGCAACAACAGACACTGTGTGGTTTATATCGCATCATTTATCTGTAAGCCTGTACCAGTTTACAGTCTAAGAACTTCCGTCATCCTTTCATACAGTATGATCTCCCTTTAATAACCAATGGAAAGATCTATTAGGATTGCTTTCTCATTCTATTTCCATTATTAGCTACAGTTCTTTAAAAGGAACTTTGCCTCATTGACTAGGGCTATGTGTTTATCCTAAAACACATTTACTTTATTTAAGCTACATCAGGTTCAGTGCTTAAGTATTTCACTTTAATGTCTTAGTTTCCTGGGGCTGCTGTCATGAATTATCACAAACTTTTATAAGGGCACTTGCCACTGGGTTTGGGGCCCATCAAGATAATTCAGAACAATCTCAAGATTCATAACTACATCTTTTAAAATCCTTTAATCCAAATAAATTCAGATTCACAGGTGGGAGGAGGGGTAATCCACTTAGTGCACTGTAACTTGGTTTACTCTGCCCACCCTATCAGCCTCTTCAGTTGTAAAAATCATTCCTCTAGTTTTATCTAGTCTGTGATGTTTTACAGCTATAAACACATCAGCATACATCTCTTCCCATACTCCATTCCTACATATGATAAACAGTACTACTCTATAACTAGATTTTTGTACCAACTTAATTTCCCCAGGCCATTTCTTTATCAGTTCATACAGTGAACTTAAGGACAGGCCAAATTAAAGTATCCAAACCAAGCCACAAAGGTGTGTGCAAGGTGGGGATCCCAGAACATCAAGGAAGAAGTGTTAATTATGCTTATTTAATGTCTAGTCTTCCCAATTTGAACTCTCAGCACGCTGAGCTGAAGCCAAGTGCAGTTCAGTGGTTAGAGCATTTGCACTCATGGGTGAAGCTTTGAGTTTGATTACCAGCAGTGCAAGGGGGAAACACTGAAACTCACATGGAAACAAACAGACCAATTTTGTGAATGAAGGAAAAAAAATGATCCATATGCTCTTATCTCAAGACTTGCAAAAAAAAACCAAGAAACCCTAAAAACAAAATTAAAAACCTAAAAACCCTTAGTAATGTTAGAGTAGGCACAAAAGGGAAGGTTATGATTCTAAAAGTAACAATATATCTGGAAGAACCTATGGTTTACAGCCTATTTTCCACTAAGGCACCAAGCTATTCTACTTCACAACTTTCCAATATGTAAACGAGAAGCATCTACCATTTCCTCATATCACTCTTCATGGCTAGGCAGAATCTTTAGCTCTTGGAGAACAGTAGACTACTTACATAACCTTAAAAATGTAAAAAGCACCAACTATAAATTCCTATAAAGGAAACCATCAAAATTAAAAACTACTTATAGAAAAGTTACACTGAAAGGTAAGCAGGCAAGTCACAGACCTGGGAAAACTTTACAATACATAGTATCTGACAAAGAACTATAATTTAGAACATATAAAACTGAAAATCAAAGAAAAAGTTAGTTTAATAAGAGAGGAACAAATTATAAACATTTAATCAAAGAGAATAAAAGAACATACTAGGAGGTGTTTAATACCAACAACTATCAGAAAAATGCAAATTAAAACCAAAATTAAATACCATTTTATACCACTTCAGATGGGTCTAATTCTTCCGACAGTACCAAGTGTTGGTGAGAATAGAGCACCTTAGTAGCCTACTGCAGCTGTAACAAACTCTCCCACAAGTGTTGTCTTTAAAACGGCACAAATGGTTTAGTAAGCAAGGTGTAAGGCTGGCTCCTTCTACAGGTTCTCAAACCAAGTTCATTTCCTAGCACTTTTCAGCTGCAGGCCTTTCCTTCCTCCACCTTCTAAGGACAACACTAAGCTCATGTCACTCTGCCATTAGTCTATTTCACACTGCCATATCCTTGTGTCATTAAATCTCCCACACATGTCTACTAAGGACACTTGTGATTACATTTAGGGTTTACCCAGATCATCCACACTAACCAACCCATCTCAAGATCTTAACTGCATTATATCTATAAAGTCCCTTTTGCCATATAAAGTAACACTCACAGGTTCTGGTCACTGGAACCTGTACATATGTGGGGAGCATTTGGTCTACCACGAAGCAACTAAACAACCTTGCACTGCTGATACAAGCATAAAATGACACACTGCTTTCCTAAAGAGACATACACGCACCTGCAATACCGTTATACTCTAGAAATACAGTCAAGAAAAAAACAAACAGGGTCTATGAGTTGAGTTCTATTCCCAGAACCCACACGGTGGAAGAGAACCACTCCTGCAAGTTGTCCTCTTACAAGCCTCCCATAAATACGGGTCCTGTCCCAAAATAAATACATGTAAAACAAGTTCTTCAAAGAAAAACAAAACCATGTCCACAAAACAAAACAAAACAAACCACCAAAGCACCTGTACAAGCTAAGTATGATACATGCCTGTAATCTCAGCCCTCAGGTGGCTGAGGCAGGAAGATTACAAGCTCAGAGGAAACTTGGGGCAAAACTCACTGGTGGACAGGGACAGGGAGGGAGAGAAGCCATGTTAAGCATAAGCGGCTAGAGTGATGGCTCAGTGGTTAACAGCACTTACTCCTCTCATAAAGTAGGCTCAGGTTCAGTTTCCAGCACCCACCTCAGAGGCTCACAACCACCAGTTCCAGGGGATCTGACACCCACTGGCCTTCATGGGCACCTGTAAGCACATGGTGCACAGAACTTCATGAAGGCACATATCCATAAAGACAAAAAAAAAAAAATGTTCATAACCAGAACTGACTGGAACTCATAGTATGAAACTGGAAACTATCAAAACTATTTTAACATTTTAAAATGTATTATATTCAAACAAGATACTGATCAGAAACAAAGCCAGCAAGCTACTTATACTACACAACATGGGTAAATCTCAAAAGCACCATATATACAGTTTGATCCATTCATGACTTCCAAACAGACAGAACTAATTTAGTGACTGAAGTCAAAATGACTGAAAGCAAATGGAAATGCATATGAGAGCACAAAGCACTCTCCTGAGGCAGTAACACTGTTGTCTCTTGTGAGTCACATGTGAGAACACAGCTATTCAAACCCACACAACTGAAAACTTGGATCTATGCATACTTTAT